CAGAGGGGGAAGAGAGAGAGGATGAAGATAGAGAGGGAGAGAGAGATACAGCTGGTAGGGGCTCGCCGACCCCAGAGCACGCCACCATGTGATCTTCCGCCAGTTGGATGGACCTGGTCCAGCGACGTCGGGCGGTGGCACTGGACCCATTGTGCAGACTTCTTGGGCAGCTTTCCAATAAACTGCTCCAGCACCACCTGGTCGATAATCTGCTCGACGTCGCTTCCCATGGCCATCAGCCATCTGCGGCAGGAGTCCCGGAGCTGTTGCGCCATCACGAAGGGCCGACCGGACTCCTCTAGGGTTAAGGACCTGAACTGTTGCCGGTGCTGTTCAGGTGTCCGGCCGACCCGCTGAAGAATGGCGCGCCGTAGATCGTGATAGACCAGGAGATTCGAGACTGGCAGTTGGTGGGCTGCAATCTGCGACTCACCAGACAGCAGCGGGATGAGACGCAGGGGCCAGTCCCCTTTTGGCCACCCCCGGGCCTCGGCCGACCTTTCAAACAGGTCCAGAAACGCCTCCGGTTCGTCTTGTGGACCCATCTTCCCCAGCGTGAGCGGCGAGGCCGAGGCTGACTCTGGATGGGGGGTGGCTGGAATCTCCCGGTCTAAACAGCTCCGGAACAACTCACGGTCTTCCTGCTGGCCTTGGAGCAGCATCTGAAAGCGCTGCTCATGCTCCTCCTTTACGCTCAGCAGGGCTTGATGTTGATCCCTTTGAAGAGCCGCGAGTGATTGGATGATCTCCGCAAATGGCGATCCTGACGGGTTCTGCATGGCGGCAGCAGTCTCCTTCTTCCCGGGTTTCGGCACCAGTGTAATACGGTTCAAAGTAGTGTGGGAAGAAGAAGAAGTCGGGGTCGGCGAAACTGGAACTCGTACTCTTTTTATTTACTCAAAATCAAACAAAACAAAAAGGCGCGCACACAGCGCATTCACCGTAGTGTAACCACAGCACAAAACAATTCTCAAAAACTCTTTTCACATCGATAACGATCGGGTCTCAGCTTCTCTGGTGAACAGTTCCCGCACGAGTTCCAGTCCCTTCTCTCTCTCCCGCATTCTCCCACTGTGTGGCTTTTATCAGTCTCCCCACGCCAATCACTGCAATCAGACACAGGTGTTCATCATCTGCACTTGACCTACTTACTCACCACACAGCTCATTGACTCGTCTCTCACTACAGAGGCGCGAGAACCACGCCCCCCTCACCACAGTATACTTGTCTGTCTGTTATGTTTTTTCTTCATAATTGTGTTAGCCTACGTAGTTTTAAGGAATGGTTATGGGTAGGTTTAGGGGTAGGAGTAGGATTAGTGGCTCAACATATTTTTTAATGCTATATTGTTAATAAAACTGCCATTTACCTACACATCTCAGTCCATTACGTTTTATCCTTTTTTTATTCTGTATAAAATGGAAATGTTTAGGGTTTGGGAGTAGGATTAAGGGATCTTGTTACATTTATCTTTAAAAGTAAAAGTATACAGATATATTTAAGATATGAAATACGTACAGAGGTGGGCACAAATACATCAAAAACTATTTTGTTACAAAATACAAATACTGGCTCATGAAATGTAACAAAATAAAATACAAAATACTGATGTGAAAAATATATTTAAATAAAATACAAGTAATTAGTATTTTGAAAATACAAAAATACTCCCACAATAATCTTAAGTCTTTTTTAATTATTATTACTGAAAGGTCAATAACACAAATAGTAGCAATAACACAAATATGATAAATGTGTAAATTCAAAATGGCGAAGTAGCAAAATAAAAAAGTATGGACATTTCACTAAATCTCTACAGGGCCTGAAATAGCTCCCTCTGACGTAAATGGCATGTATACACTCACCTAAAGGATTATTAGGAACACCATACTAATACTGTGTTTGACCTTCAGAACTTCAAGGTGCTGAAAGCATTCTTTAGAAAATGTTGGCCCATATTGATAGGATAGCATCTTGCAGTTGATGGAGATTTGTGGGATGCACATCCAGGGCACGAAGCTCCCGTTCCACCACATCCCAAAGATGCTCTATTGGGTGAGATCTCGTGACTGTGGGGGCCATTTTAGTACAGTGAACTCATTGTCATGTTCAAGAAACCAATTTGAAATGATTCGAGCTTTGTGACATGGTGCATTATCCTGCTGGAAGTAGCCATCAGAGGATGGGTACATGGTGGCCATAAAGGGATGGACATGGTCAGAAACAATGCTCAGGTAGGCCGTGGCATTTAAACGATTCCCAATTGGCACTAAGGGGCCTAAAGTGTGCCAAGAAAACATCCCCCACACCATTACACCACCACCACCAGCCTGCACAGTGGTAACAAGGCATGATGGATCCATGTTCTCATTCTGATTACACCAAATTCTAACTCTACCATCTGAATGTCTTAAAAGGAATCGTGACTCATCAGGCCAGGCAACATTTTTCCAGTCTTCAACTGTCCAATTTTGGTGAGCTCTTGCAAATTGTAGCCTCTTTTTCCTATTTGTAGTGGAGATGAGTGGTACCCGGTGGGGTCTTCTGCTGTTGTAGCCCATCCGCCTCAAGGTTGTGCGTGTTGTGGCTTCACAAATGCTTTGTTTCTGCATACCTTGGTTGTAACGAGTGGTTATTTCAGTCAAAGTTGCTCTTCTATCAGCTTGAATCAGTCGGCCCATTCTCCTCTGACCTCTAGCATCAACAAGGCATTTTCGCCCACAGGACTGCCGCATACTGGATGTTTTTCCCTTTTCACACCATTCTTTGTAAACCCTAGAAATGGTTGTGTGTGAAAATCCCAGTAACTGAGCAGACTGTGAAATGCTCAGACCGGCCCGTCTGGCACCAACAACCATGCCACGCTCAAAATTGCTTAAATCACCTTTCTTTCCCATTCTGACAATCAGTTTGGAGTTCAGGAGATTGTCTTGACCAGGACCACACCCCTAAATGCATTGCAGCAACTGCCATGTGATTGGTTGATTAGATAATTGCATTAATGAGAAATTGAACAGGTATTCCTAATAATCCTTTAGGTGAGTGTAAGTTCACATCAATGATGTGGTAGTTTTATACAAAATCAGTATCAATATTTCTCATATGTAATTACGTTTATATTGTGAACGCTTGCTTAGCATAGAGATTTCAGTGGAGTTACGACAGACGCGCTGTTTCATAATAGGTGGGGCATATGATGTCCTTTTATGAATGACAACACAGTGCATTGATCTCATAAGGCACAATTATTTTCTCTATAATGCCATTCAGTGTGCAATACGTGTGTGTGTAGACTGTATATTTTTCACAAAACACTTTACCTTAAAGGTGCTGTCAGCGATTTCAGGCCCAAAAAAGGCCGAAACATAAATGACATTCATCTAATTTTTCCTAGTGGGAAATCACCGACAGGGGGTGGGTGTTGTGAGGTTTTCCTCCGACTTCGCAACACTGTCGCAACACTCCTCACAACATTGTCGGTGATTGGTTGGAACTAGGGCTGGGCGATAAAACGATAACGATATGGTTCTCAAGTCTCACGCATTGGCCGTGAGACACACGCAATTCAACCAGTTCACACGCTCACACGGCACACCATGTATTTCTCACGCTGAAAAGGCAATGCCAACCAAGTTGTCCTGCAACAAGCTTTATATAACGTTGTATACGAGGCGCATGCACACAGAGTGAAGTTTCCTGCCGCCATGCGATTATCTCGGCCAGATTGCGTTCGTTACTAGGCAACAAAATGCGCGAAGTCTGCGAACGAACACAGGGAAAGTTGACGGAACATTCTCGGCCACCGCGACATCGCGCCTTTCTTTACTGTCTATGGATCGCGCGAACACACGTCGTGATGGAGAAGGTAAGTTGGAAGAAAGCTCGTCTAACATTTTTAGGCTAGAACATTTAATATAGCCCATCGTATACATTATTGATGCAGTCAAAAACTCTACAACTACTTTGCAAACCAGGCCAGAAGCTTTGGCTCAGTTTAGTTATCTGAAACTAAGGGAAATGTTAGTGGGTATGGGAAGGAAGATGTATTTCTTCATTTTATTTTAAATGATATATTATACTGTATTAATAGTCTTTCTAGTTAAGGCTACATGCCTATTAAAACAGAGTGCTCTAGGTAATATTTTATATCCTGTCAAAACATACATTAACCATTGCATTTGCATTTTTCAAAGATGTCAGGGGAAAATGCAAAAATATTTGTTTTTCCAAACTGTTTGGAGCAATTTGTTATTTGTAATTTTGAGTAGGCCTATGTTGCGGCCCTTGGCTCCTCAATAAATGGCAGAGAGTCTCTAACGGGTGCAGTAATTATTTATTCTTCCAAAATCAGCGTGAGCACCGTGAAAACTAGAAGTAAACACAAATAATTTTCTCACTTAACACATACACTTTCCTGGTACAAGATAAACAACAAAATAATTCCCAGTAACAGTCAAAATAGACATTTTACATCCTTGAAGGCTTTTATACATGGAGCAAAATGAATACACACCTTACTCCGCTCACCAAGGGTGCAAGTTTTAGATTTGCTGCTTTTCAGAATTAGCCGCTAGCTTGAAGGTCTCTGAACTAAAACAGCACACAAATGTGTGGATATAAGACAAAGCAAACTTCACCAAAACACCATGAAAAAACGGAAATACATAAACTAATTAATATTGTAAAGTTAACAGCACCAGGATTTCACAATCTGAGTCAACTTACATGTCCAAGATCTTCTGAGATGAGACAAGTCAGGCAAGTGCAAAACGAATGATCAGTTATCCAGATTCCAGGGCACACAGCCTTAAACCCAGTCACATGAATTACCTGACTGAGAATGCACTACCTCTAGCGGCCTCCAGTGGCCACTTACACTCCCACCAATCATGTTATGATAAATGAACTCAGCATGGAAAACAAAACAGTTACTCATACATGATTTCTAGAGTTCTGTAACTGCCTAAGTATAGAGCTATAGGTCACAAATAAAAAATAGGGTCACCTTGAATAAAACCATTAAACCAACATGTCTGATGTAAGTGTACTTAAACTTGACAGACCGTTAATTGTTTTCAAGGAGGAGCACCAGCTTTTGGATTGGCCTTTCAATGATTGAGGGCTTACATCGGTGGTTCTGTTTCTGTGTTAGTTTCCGATCCCCAACTTGTACCTTTACCCGACGAACTAAGCCATCTGACCCTTCTGTAGTTTCAACCACTCGTCCTAGTTGCCACTGATTCCTTGGGAGTGTATCTTCCATTATGATGACTATGTCGTCCACTTTCAAGTTGCGCCGGGGTACATGCCACTTTTGCCTAATGGACGTATTTAGAAGGTATTCTTTCTTCCACCGGCTCCAGAACTGTTCGGTTAAATATTGTACTCTGCGCCATCTTTTTGCGGCGTACACATCTTCCTTTACGAACTTTCCGGGAGGTGGTAAGGCAACCTTAGCTTTCATCAGGATAAGGTGGTTTGGAGTCAGCGGCTCTGGTGCCATAGGATCATTGATTCCATCAACGTTTAAAGGGCGACTGTTGACGATGGCCATAGCTTCATAGAACAGCGTTCTAAGGGAGGCATCATCTAGTCTACCGGAACACTGAGCGATCGTAACATTCAGCACATTGCGGATGGTCCGAATTTGTCGCTCCCACACACCGCCTGCATGACTCGCTGAAGGAGCATTGAGAATGAACTCGCACTGTTTATCCGCCAGAAAGGCTTCCAGTGCCTCTGTGTCACATTGCTTGAGGGCTTCCTTGAACTCATTCTTCGCACCCACAAAGTTTGTGCCCTGATCACAGCGGAGTTGGCAAACAGCTCCTCTAAGACTAATAAAACACCTTAAAGCGTTAATGAAGGCGTCCGTGGACATGTCTTCAAGCATTTCAAGATGGACTGCTCGAGAAGACAGGCATGTGAATATGAGTCCATATCTCTTGCACTCTTTGCGACCTCGCTTGGTGATAAATGGGCCGAAGCAATCCATTCCGCAGAACATGAAGGGAGCCGAGACTTCACAGCGTTCTCTGGGGAGTTCAGACATTCGTTGCTCTTCAACTGGTCGTCTGAGCTTCCGACATTTTACACATCTATGTATCAACTTGGCGACTAGTTTACTCCCACCAATGGCCCAAAATCCATTTGACCTGAGTTCCATTAAGGTCTGGCTCCGACCCTGGTGGCAGATCTGGGCATGGTAGTGTGACAGGATAAGCTTGGTGATGTGACTGTCCTTTGGGAGAATGATGGGGTGCTTTAGTTCATGACTGAGGGATGATCCCTTAAGTCTTCCGCCAACGCGAAGAAGTCTCCCATCCAGAATGGGGTCGAGACAAAGAAGAGGACTGGAATTTGGAATTATGTCCCCATGAGGGCTCCTTTGCAGTGCCTTTAGCTCTTGAGGGAAGGCTTGCTGCTGGACGAGCTGAATTACCACCTCAGCAGCCCTCCTACGTTCCTCGACAGTCACAGTTTCACCGTGATATTTTAGCTTAGATCCTAGTCTTTTGATTCTTGCAACCACCTTAACAAGCATTGTCCAGGTGGAAAACCGGCTCAGGCGACTTAGAACGTCGCTCCAGTCGCTGACTTGAGTTGCAAACACTTGAATCGATTTAACTTCGGGATCACCTGTGAGCAACTCGGTTGAAGGCCTAGGTGTAGGTAGCACTTCCTGTTCCCATAGAAACTTGGGCCCTGATAACCAGCGAGTCGAAGAGATGTCTGCTGCATGAAGACCTCTAGAGGCGTGGTCAGCTGGGTTTTGTGCTGTATCTACGTAGTTCCATTGATTTGGGTCTGTAATCTCTCTTATCAATTGAACACGGTTTGCCACGAACACATGGAACCTTCGTGCCTCATTGTTGATGTAAGCCAGCACTACTTGTGAGTCCGTCCAGAAAAGTTCTTGTTCAATTTTCATCTCAAGTTCTGCCTTAAGCATAACACTCATCCTGGCTGCGGTGACTGCGGCTGAGAGTTCCAATCTTGGGATGCTGATGATCTTCGTAGGTGCAACCCTCGCTTTGGCCATTACAAGACTGCAATGAACCTCGTCCTTGTCGTTTTTGTATCTGAGATAGGAACATGAACCATATCCTGCGTTACTGGCATCTGAGAAGTGGTGCAGTTCCACCCTAACAATTTTACCAAAGTTTTGAGGATGGTAACATCTGGGTATGGCGACTTCCTTTAAGCTCTGTAGGCCATTCTTCCACTCCTCCCACCGTGAACGCAAGTTCTCAGGAATAGGATCGTCCCATCCAATACCTCTACGACATAGCTCCTGCAGGATGCACTTGCCACTCAAAGTGAAGGGAGCTACAAATCCGAGTGGGTCATACAGAGATGCAACGACTGACAATAGACCACGGCGAGTTGGGGGGTGGTCCTTTGCGTCAATGTTGAAGCTGAATGTGTCGTTCTCTGATGACCACTGTATGCCCAGTATGTGTCCTTCTGGTGTTGCATCTGGATTAAGGTTGAGAGGATCAGTGGTTACTGCCCTTTCTGAGGGTGCCACACAGGAGAGGACCTCCATTTGATTTGAGTTGAACTTGTGCAGACGTAGACCTGCACTTTTGCACAGTTCCTGTGCTTCGACAATTAGTTCCTTAGCTTCTTTGACTGTTGGAACACTGGTTAACCCATCGTCCACGTAGAAGTTCTTCTCTACAAATACTGAAGCTGTCGAGTGGTCAACCTTGTGTTGCTGTGCCAGATACTTAAGACCAAAATTGGCACATCCAGGGGAGGACGCAGCACCGAAAATGTGGACTGTCATTCTATACTCCTGCGGTTCTGTTTCTAACAATCCACCCTCCCACCAGAGGAACCTTAGGTAGTTGCGAACTTCGGGTGAGACGCTGAACTGGTGGAACATCCTCTCGATGTCACAGATCACAGCAACTGCTTCCCTTCTAAAGCGACAAAGGACTCCTACTAAAGAGTTAATTAGGTCGGGGCCTGTGAGAAGAGTGTCGTTTAGAGAAATCCCCCGGAACTTTGCCGAGCAATCAAACACAACTCTTAATTTGCCTGGCTTCTTGGGGTTGTACACCCCGTGATGTGGAATATACCACACAGTCTCTCCCTCCAAGAATGGAGGAGCTGGCTCGGCATCACCTTTCTTGATAGTTTCTTCCATGAAGGCAGTGTAATGGTCGAAATACTGTTTGTTGGCTTTTAACTTCTTCTTTAGATGTTGCAGCCGAACAGTAGCCAGCTTCTTATTGTTAGGGAGAGCCGGCGGACAACTGCCCTTGAAAGGGAGGGGAATCTCAAAATGTCCATCCTTTTTCTGCTTAATGTTATCACTAAGGAGCTGTATAAAATGAACGTCATCCTGAGACACGTACTTGTCCTCATAGCTCCTCTCGTTGAAGTCTGATTCCAGTACTTTCAGCACATCGGTGGCCACTGGCACCTCTTTCACTGCAACACGATGCACAAAGCTCTCGTTTCCTTGTCTATCCAAGTGGGGATTGGCGGACCCTATAATGCTCCAGCCAAGCATTGTCCTTTGCGCGAAAGGTTCATTTTCACCACCTGTGATGACCTCCAAGGGAGCTAGAGCTGATGGGCAATCATAACCAATTAGCAGTCCAACCTCGCAATCTTGGAGTGGATGTAACTTGTTTATAAGATGTTTCAGATGAGGCCACTGAAGCGCTGTACCTTTTGTAGGAATGTGAGACTTGTCGACTGGGATGAAGTCTCGTGTGTAGGTCTGCTGTAGTTGGATGTAAGTTTCAGAGTTGAGTCCCCGAACTTGTAGACCATACGCAGTCTTGCTTGCTATGACTGTGTTGACAGCTGTCATTGTGCTGAGTTTAAGTTGCACTGACTGAGTGTTCACATTTAGTTCGGTGACCAAATCTTCCAAGATGAACGTTGAGTCGCTCTGTGTGTCGAGTAGAGCATAAGTGAGAATTTCTTTCTGGGGCTCTGTTGTTGATGACACAAGAACTGGAACAATGCTAGAGGTGGCAGAAACGTGCTGTGTCAATGCATGGGCCATGACCTTGTGAATTTCCTTGCTTCCATGATCTCCTGTGGCTACGGGATCATTTCTTGCAGATCCGGCAGGGTTTGTGTTTCTTTCTAGGTGCAAGCAGGTTGGATGACGTCTACCACATGTACTGCAGGTGTGTCGCCTTTTACAGTCTTTGGTTGTGTGACCCTTTCTTAAGCACCCAAAACACAGGTGGTTTTCATGGATAAAGGCCTTCTTTTCATCTGTAGTCTTTGCTGCAAAGGTTGGACACTTAACAACACCATGCGTTTCGTCTTTACAAACTAAGCAAGGTGGCCTTGGTTTCACGTTTTCCAGAGTTCCTGAGGTGGAGTTTTTCATTTGAGTGCTTGTGTTGAGCGCCTTGGCTCTCTTTGGAAGCCTCTCGTCCGTGCTTTTAACGTTCATCAGAAGGGGGGAGGCAATAGGGTTACAAGCTATACGGGCTTCGGTCTGCATAAACTCTGTGAAATGCACAAAACTTGGATAGTCTCCAGATCTGTCTAGCTCTTCCACAACAATACGACTCCATCTGCGCACCATCCACTCAGGCAGCTTTTTAAGGAGCTTGTGATTTTCCTCACAATCATTTAGAATACCCAGGCCCTTAACATGAGGAATGGCCTCAACACAACCTTGAAGGAAATCTGCAAACTCTCTTAATGCAATAGGGTCATTTACAGCTATCTTTGGCCACTTCGTGAGCTTGTCTCTGAAAGCCCTTTGGACAATGAATGGACTTCCATACCTATCTTGTAAGACTGCCCAGGCACCCTGATATGCCTTCTCTGAATTTCGGTAGAAAAATCCTTCAACGGCTTTGCGTGCTTCTCCAGCAAGATAACCCTTTAGATAGAGCATTTTTTCACTAGCTGGGAGGGGCTTCTGGTCGATGAGAGCCATAAAGGATATCTTCCAGTCTATGAACTTTAAGGGATCACCAGTAAACGTGGTTGGTTCCGGGACAGGTAGACGGCTTAGGGTAAGTGAGCTTGCAATTGCTTGGGCTAGGCTGACTTCCTGAGCTACTGGTGCCTCTGAGTGTGCGGGATGAGGCTGGAATGGCATTGCTTGTGGATTTAGTGAGGTTCTGAGTCCAGCATTTTGCCCACTATACTGAGTTTTATGGTCAGTCTCTTCCTCAAAGCCTTCAAAGCCATCAAAATTGTTGTACGCTCTCACCCGAGCTGCTGCTACCTTCACTTCATTGTCCGCTTGAAGCTGTTGTAACCTTGTTTTTTCCTCTTCTAGCTTAAGTTTCATTTCAGCCTCCTTTTGCTTGATTTCTGCTAGCATCTGTGTTTCCTTGAGTTTCCATTCACTCTCCAGTTTGTCAAGTCTCGCCTGTTGAAAGTGTATTTTTTGCATGGCTTTTGCCTGTTCTACCTTGGCGGCCAGTTCTGCTTCTGCATCTGCACGTTTGCTAGAGGACCTGGAGGTGGCGCTTGAGTGGTTGCCTGATCCTTGTGATGACTCTGAAATTACTGTTTCTGTTTTCGTATTTCCAAAGACTGACTCATACTCATCCTTATTCAGCGCTATTCTCACCCTCTCTTTCTCTAGCTGGTCATTGAAAGCCTCATCTATGTTCTCAAGTCGCTTACTGACAAGGTCACAAATCTCAGCTGTAAGAGTGTCACATGCATCCATTCTTTTGACAATATCAGGAGTAGTGGTATGGTTGCGTCGAATGGGCTCATAATTTTGATGTACTATAGCCTGTTTGGATTTAATGTTAGTTTGAATTTTATCAAGGTCCTCAGATGAGCAGAAAGCCTTCAATTTTACTCTAAATTCCTTTGCTGTGTGTTTCCAAGCATCATAGGCTTTGTTGAATGCCTTTTCATTCCTCTTTGCTTCCTGATCATGTAATTCTTGACCCTTTGTTGTTAAACTACGGTCACGGGAGCTCGACCTGACTTGTTGTGCTTCTGGGGTCTTGTCTATTTCCTCAGTAGGTGATGACATCTTGTTGGTCTAAACGGATCTGTTTGTACTTTAAGGCCTTAGAGTGTTTTATGTCTAGACTCAAATTTGGATGAGTGGTGACTTTAACTTATCTTTAAAACTATATATTACCACTCACATCAGACATTTACACTTTGAGGACACATCAAGGAGAGTAAACAGAAACAGCTACTGAATGTCATAAACAAGAATACTGCTGATAATCTTCAGTCAGACAATTTTGCTCCTCAGATATTGTTAGGTTCAGGAATTAAAATCTTGTGAGATGACAATGACCTTATCCACACTCTTAGACTTTGTACTGGTTAACCTTACGGATCTAGCATTTACCGTATTTGTATTACACATTCAAAACCCTTCTTGGAATTATTTAGAATATGGCAGTTCTTGATTTCTCTAGAGGTCCAATGTCCCATGTGATGAATTAGCTGAGCACATAGTCATTTAAAACCCGTTGACTTTAATGTAGTGCTCCTGTATGTGTATCTGCGGTTGGTTTTACCCACTTAGTCAGACAAAGTCTCTCACTGCAGCTGTGGCATCCATATTGGCGTGTAAACATCAGATGATCTTGTGTCCACTGGCTGATGAAGACGTCTGCATTGGTGGATGACTCAGCGATAAGTTTTCACTGTTGCGGCCCTTGGCTCCTCAATAAATGGCAGAGAGTCTCTAACGGGTGCAGTAATTATTTATTCTTCCAAAATCAGCGTGAGCACCGTGAAAACTAGAAGTAAACACAAATAATTTTCTCACTTAACACATACACTTTCCTGGTACAAGATAAACAACAAAATAATTCCCAGTAACAGTCAAAATAGACATTTTACATCCTTGAAGGCTTTTATACATGGAGCAAAATGAATACACACCTTACTCCGCTCACCAAGGGTGCAAGTTTTAGATTTGCTGCTTTTCAGAATTAGCCGCTAGCTTGAAGGTCTCTGAACTAAAACAGCACACAAATGTGTGGATATAAGACAAAGCAAACTTCACCAAAACACCATGAAAAAACGGAAATACATAAACTAATTAATATTGTAAAGTTAACAGCACCAGGATTTCACAATCTGAGTCAACTTACATGTCCAAGATCTTCTGAGATGAGACAAGTCAGGCAAGTGCAAAACGAATGATCAGTTATCCAGATTCCAGGGCACACAGCCTTAAACCCAGTCACATGAATTACCTGACTGAGAATGCACTACCTCTAGCGGCCTCCAGTGGCCACTTACAGCCTATATTTGACGTGATGAATTGCTCTGTCATTTATCAGATTTACCAATTATAATTTCAATTTGTGCTGGTTAATTATGAACAATGGGTAAAATTGGGGGGCGGGGCTCGGCGGGGTTGGGGCTCCATTAAGGCTCCTCCCCTAACCACATGTGATCTCACTCCAAGCTTTTGATCAAACTTGAGAACCCTGGTATCGCGATAGACAGGGGGTGATATCGATATCAATAACGTGATCGATATCAATAAAAAATGTGTTCGATAAAACGTTCGATATTTTTTTATTCGTCGGAAGAAACCACAGGTTGCAAAGCAAGTTTGGTTGCATTAACAAAGCCACTCGCTCTCTGGTAACCTAGCAAAGTAGGGAGTGACACGCTAACAGGCAATCATGTAACGTGTCAGTTTGGTTGCGCCATATCGTTGTCTCGTGCTGCTGGATTCCTCTTCAGTAACCGGCGATTGATAAGCAGAAAATGAGTGCGCTTCATCTGCATGCCATGCAGGCTAGAATTGCGAAACATTATTGGATAATTCGCTCTATTTGCGTTTGATGTGAACACAGCATAATGAACAGGCTGCGATGTCAAGATTGCAATGCTGGAGTGTGTGTGTGTGTGTGTGTGTGTGTGTGTGTGTGCGCGCATGCGCGCGGGAGAGAGAGAGACACGCGGGCGCGATCGAACAGTGGAGACATAAAAACATACTCCGTCATTTTGTTAATACAGGACATCATTCAGTCTGCAAAGTGTTTACTTATATTTGTGTAGGCCTATACTCGCAATAAAACACAACATTGTGCTTTTGTCACACTGTATTTCTTGTCAAACTGTAACCTAAAACTGTGTCACACCGTTTTAAAAGCAAAACATATTTATCCAACCCCTTTGTAAAAGTCTGTGTGTTCCATCTTTTGGACATTCACCATATCACATTGGTTTTCATTTCTTGTCCTCAAAACAGAGCACTAATCTTTTTATTTTCAAGTTACACATTGATTAAAAAAGAAAATGAAATGTGTTGGTAGTATTATTTTATACGGAAATCAATTATTTATAATTCTAATGAGAATAAAGTTAGGGTTAATTACAATTATGGAAAACAAATATAAATATAACTGCAAGCAGTGATTGCGGGGCCAAGCACCTTTTGACCATGTTTGACATATTTGGATTTAATTTGAAAACTTATTCAACTTACCAATTGTTCAAATCAAAATTCCCATTGTTAAACAGTTGCTACATATTAAATTATTAGAATTTCTTCAAAGCTATAACCTTTTTTTTTACACAGCATGGTAGTCATACACAGTGGTTTGTTCTATTTTTTTGGAGACTTGAGTTGTTAAAGGTAGAACTGCAGTAACTGGCTCCAAATTACATAACATTACACAATGATTTGAAGTTGTATAACATGGGGCTTGAAACCACAACTGGAACGGCTCGGGATTAGTAACACATTGTTTGGCAGACTGCGCCACTCAGAGGACATACAATCACAAGCTGCAGAGGAGATCCTTCAGTGTAAGAATGAGCACACAAAAGCAGGTTAACCAGATTAGCATGCTAAGCTAGCTCAATGCTAATGTAGCTTATGACGTGGTACATCCAATCTTGGCAAAATAGATATCCTTGGATTCGGCTTTGGGTCGACCTCGTTAAGTTTGCGACATCATAACTTTTTTTTTTTCCAGTATAGCAAAAAAATCTGTTTAGTCATTTCTATGCGGCTCAGTCCGAAGATCATTTGAGCAAATGTTTGGACAAAATTGGACAAAATTTGAAGGAGGAGTAGGAAGAAAACTGTTTATCATTTGCTCCAATATGGTGGACAGTCACATTGTTGGAAAATGACAAATGAGATATCGTCTGAATCGGCATAAACCAAGGAACATAATGACATAAAGCAATCAAAATTTTAACAATGTTTTCAAAAGTTATAGGCGTTTTTGCAAAAAACCTTATATCTCTGGAACAGTAGGTGGCGCTGTGTTCAATCTTCTCATGTCCCTTCAGGACATGGTGTCGATCATCCCTACCAAACTTTGTGCTGATATGTCAAATAGTTTAAAAGATATTGCAAATTATTACAAAATTCAAAATGGCTGACACGTGGAACATCCAATCCTGGCAAAATCGGTATCCCCAGAATCGACATGACACATGGAATCCATAGATACCACATTTATGATTTTCTGACAAACTGTTCAAAAGTTATTTGCCAAAATAGCTATTTTTCATATATCATGACCCATAGGTGGCGCTGTTCCCAACTTTGGCATGGACCCTCAGACCATGCTTCCGATGAAGCGTACCAATTTTCGTTTCGATTGATCAAACTTTGGCCGAGCTATAGCTTCTGAACCAATTTTGGGTCGACCTCGTTAAGTTTGCGACATCATAACTTTTTAACAAAGATGAATAAAAAAAATCTGTTCAGTCATTTCTGAGCGGCTAAGTTCAAAGATAATTTTAACAAATGTTTGGACAAAATTGGACAAAATTTGAAGGAGGAGTAGCAAAAAAACTGAGTACTGTACTTTTCAAAATGGCCACTACTGTAATGGGTAATATGAGCTCGGTAATATTAGTCTTAATGTAAGGTATTGGTTGTGATCAGAATGATGAGAGGAATCCGGTGTGCCAAGTTTCATGTCTCTAGATCAAAGGGTTCAAAAGTTATAACCATTTCAATGTTGAATTTTTGAACTGGTGGTGGCGCTATAGAGTTGGTCCTAGAGGGTCAAAAATTGGTCCAATTACTATTCATTAGCATCACTACAAGTGTGCCAAATTTCATCATTTTCCTATGTACGGTTCATAGGGCTGCCATAGACTCCCATTTACGGAATAATAATAAGAAGAAAACTAACAGATACAATAGGGGCTATCCCCTTCGGGGCTTGGCCCCTAATGATCTGAAATATAGCAAATTAATTTTAAATTCATTCAGGTACAATTACCAAACATATCTCATATCTATCTTTTTATTAGTTTAATTAATAAACCAATTATATAAAACTATTATCAGTGCACTATAAATAAACTGGTTCTATGCCTTTATTAATAAAACTTATTTAAAAAATACAAGGCTTAAGACATTTATAAAAATGCCTTCTATATTTCTGTTTTGCTTTTCACTCCATTGTACCGAAATCGTACCGAACCGTGATGTCTCAAAACAAAATCAAGCGGGGGGCACGTACGATCACAAACCCCCACCACCCACGTCCCGCCGTGCCACTGTCACATTTATTACTCTGAGGAGTTTGCAGGTCTGATTGTGAATTTAGACTTATGTTTACATTTTAATTATTTGAGTTTTCCATGGTTGTGTTGACATTTCTGTCTTGGGATTGTAATCAGAGGAAGGTTAAGTTTAAAATAAAAATGTTTAAATGTAATATATTTTTTCTCCTGGTCCTTATTTTAAATGGGTCATAAAAAAAATCAATAATTATCGATATCGACCGATATGAAACACTGATATCGTGATACAGTTTTCAGCCATATCGCCCAGCCCTAGTTGGAACACTGTTTATTTAGGTTTTGGTGGTTGGTGAAACCAATTGTTTTTGTGTGCAGATCTCAGAGCATAGGCTGCCTACAGAGACGCGTTTTTTGGACGGCCTGCTTATGGGGCGGGCAGCTAGCGGATCGCTAGGAAAAATTAGATGAATGTTTATGTTTTGTTTCGGAACAGGTCTTTTTTGGGCCTGAAATCGCTGATAGCACCTTTAATGCCGTTTTTAAGAGGAGCAGCGCCACTTCTTCTCCTGTGTTCAAAACTCATTCACTTCTTGGAGGGAGCTCGGTCTACAGGGTGTCACGTGATTTTCGTGCATCTAACCTGGACATTGCCATTGCCAACATCAGACCGAAAATATGGCAAAATCTTTTACTATGGTGATTTTTCTTAAGTATTTAAGTATTTTAAAAACTCTAAATACACTCCCTCAAAATATTTTGTTACAAACTACATTTTATTTTTTCTACACCTGCAAAATACAAACTACAAAATACACTAAAGTAATT